TCAACTTCACTTCCTTCAACCAGTTCCATTCCTGTGTTTAGTCTTCTGTTCCCTCTGGATTGTGCACACCTCCCAGAACCTGTGTTCTGAGTCTCAGGACTCTCTTAGCTTGGGATTTACCACAATGACAGACACTGGAGTACTTACTTGTGGCACCTTAGAGACTTTTACTTGAGCATAAGTTTTCGTGGACTAAAACCCACTTCATCGGATGCATGCAGTGGAAAATACAGTAGGAAGATATATATATACATACACATTCAGAGAACATGAAACAATGGGTGTTACCATACACACTATAATGAGAGTGATCAGTTAAGGTGAGCTATTACCAGCAGGAGAGAAAAAACAAAAACAAAAAACCCACTTTTTGTAGTGGTAATCAAAATGGCCCATTTCCAGCAGTTGACGATCCATCAGGGTAAATCTCCTTGCCTAGATGCATTGGGGCATAACATAAGCTGTGACTTGTAGCAGTGCAGTTTACTGTAGGGTTTCAAGATGGGATGAACTACATCAGTGTCACTCCCAGCTTCCTTTGTCTATACCTGGGGTTTGCTTCAGTCCAGCTACACTGGATTTAGCTTCACTTTCTGTTCCCATGTAAACATGTCCTGAGTGACTTGCCCAAGGTCAGAGCTCGCCCTGAATGCTGCACTAGTTTACACACATGGACCTCTCTCCTGCTTACTTGGTGCTTTTATAATGCCCCCAGCTTGGGGGATGTGTAAGGCCTTTTAGGAACTTCTCCCACTGACATAGCAACGGCCGCTCGTTGGGGGTGGTTTAATTTTGTTGATGGGAGAACTCTTTCCCATAGGCACAGCTGTGCCACAGCAAGGTCTCTGGTGTAGATGTAACCAAAGTAACAACTGTGGAGGTGTGAATGGCAACCTTCCCCACCCCTCTCATCTCAAGTGTGAAGTTCAAAGCCTACTTCAAAGCCTTGCTGAATGCTCACAACCATGCAAAGGGAGGGGGAGAAACAGTCATCTGGAGACTGGAGTAAATCCCCTCCCCACAGCTTGTTCTCATTTCACTTCCCCACCCCAGACCAGAAAGGCAATGTGCACCCGAGGAGTTGGATTTCTCACCATTGCTGTGGTGAGGAGCTAGTATAGACAGGACTGCATATTATCTGTGTAACTCAAGGACAAGTAGGTCTCCATGATGTGGTGTTCATATCTGTGGGCTTCATTATGTGGTATACCCATGGGTGGCGGGTATAAAAGCCTTCCCTGGCGCAGCTGCCCCCCCCCGACTGTGGTGGCCCCTCCCCCCCGCTGCTGCTGCCACCTGCCTCCACCTCCTGCCCCCCAGGTTCTCGCTGCTCCTCAGGGGTGGGGGAATGAGGAGGGACACTGAGAGCAATCAGAGGGCGCGGGGGTCTGGCGGGGGAGTGAGGTGGCTTGGCCAAGCACTGGCTCAGAAGGGGGGGCACTGGCTCTGCCCGGCACGAGGGCGGGGGCAGCTCAGCCTGGCGCTCAGGCAGGAGGGAGTGGCTCAGCCCAGTGCTCCGCCGGGCGACTCACCTCGACCCGGCACTCGGGGGGCTGGGAGGAGTGGTGGCTAGGGTGGGCGAGCCGCGGCTTTTCTGGTCGTGGGAGGGGGGGAGAGGGGGAAGGCTCAGGGCTACTCCTGTTAGCAGGTGGCAGGTTTCAGGGCCCCGGGCCCGGCACGCAGGGGTTGGGACCTTGGGTAGAAGGGGCGGGGCTGGCAGGTTAGCCTCCTGCAAATTAGAGGTTCACCCGCCACCCATGGGTATATCCCACTGCCAAGTGACTGTAGCAGGCCAGGATATAACATACGAGCATCAGAACAGCCACACTAGGTCAGGCCAATGGTCCATCCAGTTCAGTGTCCTTTCCTTGGACAGTGGCCAATGTCAGGGGCTTCAGAAGGAATGAACAGATGTGACAATCACCAAGTGATCTCCCCCTCACATCCCCATTGTTGTCGTCCACTCCCAGTTTCTGGCAGTCAGAGGCTAGGGACACCCTGACCATCTTGGCTAATAGCCATTGATGGACCTATCCTCCAGGAACTTACCTTATTCTTTTTTTAACCCAGTTGTAGTTTTGGCCTTCACTACATCCCCGGGTTGACTGTGTGTTGTGTGAAGAAGTACTTCCTTTTGTTAGTTTTAAACCTGCTGCCTATTAATTCCATTGGGTGACCCCTGGACCTTGTGTTATGTGAAGGAGTAAATAACACTTCCTTATTCACTTTCTCCACACCATTCATGATTTTATAGACCTCTATCATATCCCCGTCTTTTCCAAACTGAAAAGTCCCAGTCTTTTTAATCTCTCCTCATATGGAAGCTATTCCATACCCTTAATCATTTTTGTTGCCCTTCTCTGTACCTTTTCTAAGTCTAATTTTTCTTTTTTGAGATGGGATGACCACAACTTCACACAGCATTCAAGGTGTGGGCATACCATGGATTTATATAGTGGCATTATGATATTTTCTGTCTTATTATCTATCCCTTTCTAATGGTTCCTAACATTGTTAGCTGTTTCACTGCTGTTGCACATTGAGCGGCTATTTTCAGAGAACTATCCACAGTAACTCCAAGATTTCTTTCTTGAGTGGTGAGAGCTAATTTAGATCCCATTATTTTGCATATATAGTTGGGTTATTTGCCAGTGTGCATTATTTTGCATTTATCAACACTGAATTTCATCTGCCATTTTGTCACCCAGTCACACAGTTTTGTGAGATCCTTTGTAACTCTTCGCAGTCTGTTTTGGACTTAACTATCTTGAGTAATTTGTATCATCTTAAATTTTGCTACCTCTGTTTACCCCTTTTTCCAGATCATTTATGAACATGTTGAACAGTACTGGTCCCAATACAGACCCCTGCTGGACACCACTAGTTACCTCTTTCCATACCCTCTGTTTCCTGTCTTTTAACCAGTTATTGATCCATGAGAGGACCTTCCCTCTTATCCCATGTCTGCTTACTTTGCTTAAGAATCTTTAGTGAGGGACCTTGTCAAAGGCTTTCTGAAAATCCAGGTACAGTCCACTGGATCACCTTGTCCACATGTTTGTTGACCCCCTCCAAGAATTCTAATAGATTGATGAGGTATGATTTCTCTTTACAGAAGTCGTGTTGACTCTTCCCCAACAAATCATGTTCATCTATGTGTTTGCTAATTCTGTTCTTTACTATAGTTTCCACCAATTTGCCTGGTACTGAAGTTGGGTTTACTGGCCTGAAATTGCCAGGATCGCCTCTGGAGACTTTTTTAAAAAGTAGTGTCATATTAGCTCTCCTCCAGTCCTTTGGTACAGAAGCTGATTTAAGTGATAGCTTGCATATCACACATAGAATCCAGGACAGTACAGTCCACACCAGTAGCGATGCACCATTACTTAGATTGTCAGTTCTTTGGGTCAGTGATCACCTTTTTGTCCTATGCACAGCACAGCACCTATTACAACAGGGTCCTGGTCTGTGGCTGGTGCTGCTAGTAGCTACTGCAATAGAGGTAATTAATAATAATGATGGTTGCAATGGTGGAAATTGTTTGGGGAAATGTTCCCGTGTAGACAAGAGCAAGCAGTATAAGGTTCGCACAATAATCCTTCCCATGAAATTACAGAAACTGGAAAAGATGTATTTGGTCTGATCTAGCCACGCAAGAGCCATGTTATTCCATACACCATCTTTTCTAGTGTTTTGTCTAGTGTAGCTATAACTCTCAAGCAATGACATTTCCAGCACACCGCTTGGGATGCTATTCCACCATCTGTTAGATCTAGCTCAATTTCACCACATCTCTCGTCGTAATTATACCGCTAAACAATTCATTCCCCCTACTTGGTATAGTCCACCTTGGCAATACTGCATCGTAAGCCCTTGCTTAGGGCAGTGGTTCTCAACTTTTTTGGGCTCACGACCCATTGGTAGACCTTAATGGCCTATTGTGACCTAGTAAATTGCTTTTGTGCAAAAAACATCTGGCTTACTGAATATTTCTTACCCACAATATACACATATTAACATTGTAAGTATGTAGTTGTGCTGCTTTAGTGACTGTAATGTAGACATTATCCTCAGTGTGTTATCCCTGGTGTTTTCATCATATTCCTAATCTGACACTTATATCCTGCATAGTTCCTTCATTTTCCATTGGCTACAATGCTTTCCTTCACTCCCTGTCCTGAAATTGGGTAGGATGTTGCTGTGCACTGTTAAGCAGCTTGCAGGATTCATCCCAGATACGGTGACCAGACAGCAAATGTGAAAAATCGGGACGGGGGTGGGGGGTAATAGGCGCCTATATAAGAAAAAGCCCTGAATATTGGGACCGTCCCTATAAAATCGGGACATCTGGTCACCCTAGGAGGAGGCTGCACGTCCCTCAGGGATGGTTTAAAGCGAGGCCTCGACGCAGGACATTTGCAGATCACCCTGTACAGCGGGCTCGTTTGGGACCAAACTTGCCACGCTCTTGACCAGACCGCAGGCGTCGCCTACCGGTTGGGTGCTGTTTTGGGGTCTAAATCCTGGTTTTTCCCTCCCACCCCCACACGTGGAACATTTTATGATCTGGGTTTCTCCCACCCCCCCCC